AAAAAACAAGTTAACGATCATGGACTACAAAAAAATCGAATCAAGTATTACAAAAAATTTGATCATGGATTACAAAAAAAAAAAAAAAAAAAAGAATTCTATTCTTCACATAACTATCTTACATAAGCCATTTTAACTCAAAAATCCACCTCTAAGCGAATAAATTACATCCAATTGAGTACATTTTCTGATAAACAACAATATAAGGAATCAAAACCCTAAATTTTGAACACATTATCATCAATAAGTCAAATCAAATCGATTAAATTGCAAAAAAAAAAAAAACGCAGTTCTTTTCTTCCCAAACAGTCATTGAATCTAAAAAATGAAACTCGAATTGAATAAATCAGATCAAATTGAATACATCTAATTATAAACAACACTATAACGATTAAAAACACTAGAAATCTAATACATTATTCCTAATTTATCATGAACAAAAAATCAAAAGGCGGAAAAAAAAAAAAAACAGCAGCATTTTGGTTCCACAGACATCTCTGTGTTCATCTAAAAATTCATGCTGTAATTGACCAAATTACATAAAATTGAATATGTTAAATCATAATAGACACAATAAAGATTAAAAACCCTACAAATTGAACTCCTTATCTTCAAAATATGCAGTGAAATTAATCATATGACAAAAAAAAAAAAACCCAAACTTCTTTCCTGGTTTTGTGAACCGAAGCCTTCAATCTCCAAATAACTCTGTTTTTCTCAACGATTATCACAAATTAGTAACAGAAGGTTTTGATGAACAACTTTACGATCAAAATGCCTACAAATTTTGAAAGATTCATGCCTTATTTGGCATGAAACACAAGGAAAGGCGAAAACCCTATAAATGCAAGTTTCGTGATCCAAAAACACAAAATTTCTCAACCATTTAATCCGTTTAAAATCTGAATAAAGTTGTTTAAAGCCTGCAAGTTAGATCACATAAAAAAAAAAAACAAGAAAAATGATTAAAAAAATGACAAATTTCGAAGAATCCCGTGAAGAACACTGTGCAGCCCGTGTTCTTCACGGGACTCGCCGATTTCGTACAGTGAATCGGCGAGTCACTGTGCAGATTCGTCCGGTTCTCTCAAGAATCAGACGATTCCCGATTTTTTTAGCGGTTCGAGCCGTCTATGGTTGATTCCCGAGTCGAATCGGGCGAGTTCGGTTCGACTCGGCGTTTTTTTAAACACTGCTCTAAACAATCAAAGTAAAATACAACTTCAATTAGTACCGGAATATATTATTTCAGTACTAAAAATCTCGTAATGGCTTAACAATTTATTTTGAAAAATTATAAAATTTAAAATTTAAAAGATAATGTGGATCAAGTGCATCGCTTAACATGTGAAAAACATGAAAATTGATGATCTAAAAAACGCAATACAAGATAAGATACACTATTTTTAAAACTTAAAATCTTTTTTTTTTTTATGTATATACATCTTTGGACATCAAAATAGCCTTTTTTATCAATTTTTTTAAGGTGTGCCTTAATTTGATTCTTTACAGCCTCCTCCTTATGGAAACCTTTTTTTATTTAGCAAAGACTACCCACTTATTCAAATGAATTTACCTCACACGTGTGAAAAATTTATCTGCATGCTAGAAAGGGTTGCCCGACATGTGGCCGTCAATAATTGGTCCCGCATGTCAATGAATACGAGCCTGGAACCCGTGAAATAGGTTGGTGCGACACCGAGCGCCAAGTCTCCTTTGCGCCCTCTCTCTCTATCTCTGTAAATATTTATACCAGTAACCTCGTTAAAATGTGCCCCTCATCAAACCCTAGTTGTCCACTCTCTCTCTAAAGTCTCAGAGCGCGGTGGTGGAGCGTAGGAGAAACCCTGCGTCACCATTACATCTCTCTCTAAACTTATCATTTTTATGTATTTCCCGCTCTCTTTCGTTACTTCTTTTACAGCAAGGGGCAGCAGATCACAAAAGCCACAAATCATCCATGCATTCGCCTCTCCGTTTCTCTCTCTAGATCTCTAAAGCTCACGACCCAATAACCTCTCTCTAGCACCAGATCTTCACTTCTCATTTCCGAAAAATGGAGAGCATAAGGAGCTATTGGGGTAGGAAGAGCTATCAGCGCCTGAATCGCTCTGGTTCGAGGAGGAGCAGAGTGGAAGTGGCGAGATTGGGCTCGAAAAGGAGGCGATTTTGGAGAATAAAGATCACTCCTAAGATCAAATTCAAGATCCCAAACCCTAAAAAGCTCTTGATTCGATTAAGGGACGCTTATGTCAAGGCTATGCTTAGCCTGGCCAATTCCAGGGCATTTACCGGCGGCGGAAATTTTTCCGGCATGAGTTACGGCCAGCCGTTTGCCAGGCCTCCGGTGAAGGAGTACGATGAGAAGATGTTGGTGGAGATCTACCGTTCGTTGATGGCGCAAGGGCAGATCGTGGCCGTTGGTGGAGTGGGCAATGAAATTAACGGTCGCCGTTAAAGAGTTTTCCGTCGAGAGGTAGGAGAAGTTACTGTAAAGCCCATGACCACTTCGGATAATTCCCCAGATTGGCCTGAGATTATTGTGATTGACCAATGGGTCCCTCTATTTTGGAAGGACGGAATTTCCCCTAGGGGAAATGGTGGATTGGGTGCCCTTTTTGTTTGTTAATAATATTCATGAGTAGTGTTTCATGTTCATGTTTAGAAATAATGAACATCCAATGATTGTTGATTCACAGATAAGGATGGCATCGATAGATTAAGCTTGCAAAATGTTACATTTATAAGTTTTCTTTTACTAAAATCTTCTTTAATTTCCTAAAATTTAGTTCCTATTCTGTAACTTTGGTTTTGTGCAATTTCATGCATTGCCATAGATCGGGCACAAGGAAGGACAGATACAAAAATACCCTAAGGTTGCAACCTTAAAATGTAGATAGAATTACAGATGTACTTAAAAAATCCAGTCGGTTGAAGAAAACTGATCATCTCGACATTGAGATGCATGAATTTGAAAGGAAAAAAAAAAAAATTTGGAGGTTATGAATTTGAAAGGAAAAAAAAAAAAAGATTTGAAGGTGCGCCTTAATTGGATTGTTTAAGGTTGTTCTAATCTTATAGAAACGACACCCTTTTTAATTTTGGGGGGAATCGAGTGGAAGACAGGCCCCTACCCGTCCGTTTTGACGTGGATTAGGGGGTTGGCTTTTTTTTTAGGTGGTGTGATGATGGATTAGGGAGTTGGCTTTTCTTAGGTTTAGGTGGTGTCATCAGCATGATATCTTATTGAGGGCCATATGTATTTAGGGTGCATGATATCTTTGATTTTGTGCCAAGCTTCGACGAAGCATTCTCACGTTCGTGTTTATCTTTGGTCAGAGTCACTTAAGGCAGGCAGTCACATGTGAGTTTATCTTTGGTCAGAGTCACTTAAGGCAGTCACATGTGTATTGAGACGGCTTCCTAATCTAAAGCCCTAAAGGTGATCGTTTCGTATTTGTTTACTCTTCCTCAATCAAACCATTGTTTCATAGAGTGGAGGGGAAGTTTGGAATCTTCCAAGTAGGTCAGGGGCAAAATGGTCAATGGCCTCTGTGTTTTTATCATTGTGTATTTGGCATTTGAGAAATGTTGCACAGGATAAAGACATGTCCCTTATTTTCCGGATTCTCTCTATAGTTTATGCTTAAACAAGATTTTATACAGAGTATATTAAATGTTTAAACAAGTTTTTATACAATAAATTGCATATAATAAGCTAAGAGAGAGATAACATCGAAAAGGAGGCGGGGGGGGGGGGAATCTTATGCGTAGGGGGGGGAAACCAGGTAGTCAAAAGAAGTGCAAAGGGGAGTCAATAGGTCATCATCTTTTTAAGGGCTTTTTGTTTGTTTCCGTCATATATATATATATATATATATATATTTGTGCCTTTGTGGTAGGGGAGGTGGAATGACATTAGAACCAAAGCGGTGGACGTTTTGGGATTTTATTTTAAGCGGCAGCACCGCACCCCATGCCTAGTTATCACATTCTGAGACTCCCCACTTGGCACTTTCCGATAAAGCTAGCTCCTTTATTTATATATATAAATTAAGGTAAGGGTCCGTTTTTTCCTCCTGAATTATTAAGTTTTTATTTTTTTCGAAATCATGTATACATGGGAAGGGTACAACTATGCACATATTTTGAATGTTAACCAACACAGGTTGTGTATGGGATGGAAATGATTGTGATTCGAGATTAGTGGTTCAGCCTGCTCTCCCATCCGTTCATCATTTCATCGTACGATATCAGAGAGAATAGTTCATCTCCACCACCCACCCATTTAAGGATGTTCCAACTCGTGATGGCTTTTCTCCTTTGAAAAAGTAGGTGGTCCAGGGGAAGGGGCTTCGCCTAGTCTTTATGGAAACAAAATAAAGCTTCACCTTGAATCCTCATTCACGAAAATCTTCATGATGATTTTAAAATCAATTTTCAATATCTACAATGAAATTAAAAATTCAAAATTCAAAAAATGGTGCATATCTAATTGATATATAAACACTTATTTTTAGGACAAAATAGACGGTCTAGATAATTTGTTATAATAACCATATTTTTAAAAATTGAAATTCTTTTTTTTTTTTCACAATGATAATGTTCAAGCCAAGATGATCCATGTAAAGTTTTCTAATGCTTGAATTGTAACGTTTGATGAGTTATAGAGTGGGGCTTTACTTATTTTGATAGGGCTGCAGCCCCATCAAATCATTTTCTTTATATGGTTGGTGAGAATTGAATAGGAATGCAGGGAAATGCTTGGTGGTCTTACAGGTCTAATTAGTTCAATTGGTCCTGCGAGTTTATGGGATTTGATGGGATCCCAAACATCTCCAATGGTTTCTTATCTCAGCTTCAATTTAATAAAACAAATAATTGATTTGTAGCTCAAAAGGTATTCAAAACCAAATGATCATGAAGATTGATTCCAGACTATCCATTTTGATGGATGTTAGACGCCGAGAAATCCTCCTTCTCAATCTAAACTAAAAAGAGGTTTATAATATAACAAATTGATAGTATATTTTGATTGATCGATGTAGTTTTGATAGGTCTTTTAGTATAATATTAAAATTTAACACATTTTATATAAACCAATAAACCACATGCAATCAACTTTTTCTTTTTTGACATTGATTCGTGGATCATCTAAGATCTTTTAGATGATTTTAGGTCACACGTAAAACACAAGTAGGTGTTTTATCCCATTCATCCACTATATACCCGCACAAATAGACTCCACGTATATTCACGGAAATATAAAAACAAAATATAAGTTTATATAAAGGGTGCAGTTTGTATAAAACGCCTAGTTCAAAAAATAAAAGAAAGGGAAATTTTGAAGTTTGTTGCAACTCTGGTGCCCGAAGCTTTTAAGTTGGTTTGAAAATATGTTTTTGAGATTATGTACAAAATTTAAAGCTCCAAAAATAATGTGGATCAAACAGATTTATAAACACTTGAAAATATTATAAAGGGACTGTGTATATAATGAGACCATTTACTTTTGGTATATGGAGGTTACAACTACTACAACCATCCGAAGTGAAATCTGATATCTTGGGTATGTCACAAAGTTTGAAAAAATTTCTTCTGAACTTTGAGCTTGGTCAATAAAATAAATACAGCCACTTAATTTCACATCTAATAGTTAAGATTAATTGTGACCACCTTATACCAAAAGTAAATGATCTCATTATGTACTTTTCCTATTATGGGTTGTTTCTATAATGTGCTATAAGATGCAATATTTTTAAAACTTAACATCTTTTTTTTTTTTCATCTCCATATATTTGAAGGTAGAGATGATCAATTAGGGGGCTTCTCAATGTGGAAACAACCTTTTTCTATAGTACCTCACTTTTATAGCAGGTTAACGAAGTTTAAAAACCTTTACCTTATATATTTAAGGCTTGCGATAAAAAATAAAATCACACCTCAAAACCTCCAAAATGTAACTTCTTTATCAAAAAAGCTCTCAATTTAATCATTTTGACCTTGGCAATTATGAATTTGAAAGGAGATTTCAAGCCCTAAGATATTGTACTACCTTAATTTTTTACATTATATATTTGTAATATTTTTTGAATCATTGATTTGTGCCGATCTTAATCGAAGATCTGACATGCATCAACGGGTGGACAATCCAACCTATAATCTGGGCTTTGAAATACTGATTGATGTAATAAAAACATTAATATTAATTATAATTTATTCAAAGTTAGATTCAATGAACGCATGGGTACCTATCTATTGTACTATTACACAAGGTGGTGGGCTCGTGATATACTTGCAATGATGCCCCTGTTTCTACATTATTAAAGCATTAATATTAATTAATATACTAGATAGTAACACACCGAATTTTATAATAGTGACTATGAAGTTTGATAATGGTGTTTTGTGGACCCTCTTTACCAACGTTAACATCCTATCTTACCAACCAAAAGCAGATTCCACTATGATGTGCGAACGCATAATATGCATTTTTTTTGTCTTTAAGTTCGCACGTGTCATCCATTGGAGGTGAAAATATTTCTTATTGTTAAAAAAGGTGAAATCTAAAAGGTCAAAAAATTGCTCTTTTGGCCTCGAACTAGACACGTGCAGTTACCCAAAAAAAACTAGACACGTGCATCTTCATAAAAAAAAGCAAAAATGTTTATGCAAGGCACACCTAAAAAATCTAAAAATTGATTGAAAAGGTTGTTTTTGACGCTATAAAACCCTTAGGTTAATCATGGATGTGGATCCCATTTATACCTTTTGGATCCAAATCTGGATCTCCATGAATCTGGACGGGATCTGAGCCATTGTCAACCATTTGGGAGGTTTTTCAAATCGAAAGAGTTGTCGCAATTTTTTGAACAATTTGCTCTGGATCTTCCCGAAGTGCTACCAAAAAAAAAAAAAAGAGATGCGGCAGTGAAAGACTACCAAAACCCTTTAAGTTAATCATGGATGTGGATCCCATATCTACTTTTTAGATCCAAATCCCGATACTAATGGATCTTGTAGAGCCGATGCTCTAAACAATTAAAGTAGAGCGCACCTTCACATAGTATCAAGAAATGTGGTTTCAATATTAGAAATCTCTCTGATAGCCTTAAAATATATTTTCATCTCTAATTATAAAATTTAAATTTTCAAAAATAGTGTAGATCGAGCTGATCTATGAAAATTTAAAAATCTTGAAAATTGACTGTACAAAAATATGTTACAAAATGCCCTTTTTTCAAAACTTGAAATCCATTTTTTTTTTCATGTCCATGCTTCTTGATGTTGAGATGATCAATTTGAGAATTTTTAGGCATCAAAATAACCTCTTCTAGTGAAATTTTTGAGATGAATTCTAATTTATTTGTTCTAAGCATTGACTCTATATAAATTTTTTTTTTTAAAAAATAAGCAAATGAAAGAGATGCAGCAGTTAGAGACTACTAATTTTTGTGGGAAAATGCCAAGATATAAAAAAAGCACGTAACAGTGAAGTACTACCAAACACCAACTACTTGTTTGGACTTCCCTTTGCTTCGAACCAACGGAAAATTGCCTTGGACCCGGGACTACAAAAGAAGACCGCGTGTACTATGCGTGTACGGAAGTAAAAATTCCATTTCAGGGACCGAATATGATGATGTTTGAATAAGGAGCCAACTTTTACTATAAAGTTGGTCCGAAAATGTAGTTATGGTGTTGCAAACTTTCTAATGATTTGAAAAAACATGTTAAAATCCTATTATAAATTTTAAAATTTCAAAAGCGATATAAATCAAGCA